AAATAAATGAACACTCTCTTCTCAGCTCTCACCTGAATAGCCTCTGAAGAACAGGGATTCTTGCAGTCAAAATTATAAGCATGGAACTCTCCTCCAGTCAAAGCAGCAAGATCTTTCAGAAATCCATTTGCAATCTCATCTTTGTAACTGAAGGAGATGGTGTAAATAGGAATTTTCTGAAAAACCTTGACTTGGTCTATAACCATTTCAGGTGGCTGAAATGATAGATTTTGAAGGTAAAAGAAGGGAGATGGAAAAAAATAAGAGGAGAAAGAAAAAATAAGACATGAAAATCCTTCATATTTGCTACAGATAGTAAAATTCTCAACTAATACTTCCTTATACAGTGGTGAGTAGTTTCCAGGAAAGGCACCAATTCAATTCAATAAACATACCCCCTATTAGTCTTTATCCTAACAAGGGATTTTGTTTAGAATTTGTGCATAAGTCTTTCTCACATCCACTTTCTTGTTTCCTGCTGGGGTGAGTCCCTAACTTCTAAGAAGTCCCCAAATGACCACAAAGATATGCTGGGCTGCTCCTGGCAGAGGCCTTGCAGGGTCAGGGTCCATTCACACATACAGATACTCACCAAAGGATACCTATGGATTCCCTTTTAATGAAGATTAATATTATCATAACCCACCTATGGATTCCATTTTAATGAAGAGTAATATTACTAGAACCCTTTTAACTTGATTAAAGACTTGTCTTGCTATATGACTCTGGACATTTAATAAACAAGCAGTAAGCTGATGTCCATGGAATTGAATCTTGAACAGCATTTCCATCTGTTCATCCAAGCAGAAAATTCTGGTGAGTACTCAGAATAACAACATTGACCTTACATATTCAGGTCCTACAAAGTCAGTGAAAATTCACAAACAAGTGGAGATTAAAATGTACATCTTAATGTCCTCAACATAGAACATGAGCATCAAATATCTATACTTCTTTGAGAGAATCTGAGGGGTAATGCAAAATAAATAGATTGCATATGGGGAAAAGGCAGATATGAATATGAAATGCCTACATAATTGTTCATAAATTATTTGGGGGTAAGTGCTATATTTCTGATTCCCTAGTCTTCATCTTTAAGGAAATCACAGACTCTCTGAGAATCTGGTGAAAGCTATTGATCTCCCCAGAGAAATGTATGAATGCATTTTGCATATATTATTAGGAGATTCTAGACCCTCAGAAATCTATGATAGACTGCAGATCAAGACTCTTTCTCAATATATTGCTAGCAGGAGTGTTACTTGGTACATCCTCTTTGGGGACTATTTGGCAAGATCTGTCAAAATGTATAACTTTTGACTGAGTCTACTTCTCAGAATTTACACTACAAATAAACTCATACATATGCAAAATGTATATGTATGCAGTTAGTTTTGCAACATCATGCATAACAGAAAGATTGAAAATAACTTAAATCTCTGTCTGTAGGGGACATGGCTAAATAGTTGTGTGATGGACAACTTTTATTCAACAAAGTACTAGAGGTCCTAGCCACAGCAATTTAGATAAGAGAAAGAGATCAAAGGCATCTAAATTGGTAAGGAAGAAATAAAACTGTCACTATTTTCAGATGACATGATACTATATTTAGAAAATCACAGACTCCATCAAAAAACTATTAGAACTAATAACTGGATTCAGCAAAGTTGCAAGATACAAAATTAATACACAGAAATCTGTTGCATTCCTATATATTAACAACAAACTAGCAGAAAGAGAAATCAGGAAAACAATTCCATTTATAATTGCATCAGATATAATAAAATACCTAGGAATAAACTTACCAAGGAGGTGAAAGACCCAAAGGTGAAAGATTCTGAAAACTATAAGACACTCATGAGAGAAATTAAAGAAGACACAAATGGAAATCTATCCCATGCTCACTGATAGGAAGAATTAATACTGTAAAAATGGCCATCCTGCCCAAAGCAATTCACATATTCAATGCAATAACTATCAAAATACTAACAGCATTTTCCAATGAACTTGAATAAATAATCTTAAAATTCATATGCAACCAAGAGGACCCTGAATAGCTAAAGCAATACTGAGAAATAAGAACAAAGTTGGGGTTTATGCTCCCTGACTTCAAGCCATACTACAAGCTACAGTAATCAAAACAATTTGGTACTGGCACAAGAACAGACCCACAGGTCAATGGAACAGAATAGAGAGCCCAGATATAAACCCAAATATATATGGTCAATTAATATATGACAAAGGAGATGTGAATATACAATGGGAAAAAGACAGTTTTTTAAATAACTGGTCTTAGGAAAACTGGACAGCCACATGCCAGAGAATGAAACTGGGTTACTATCTAACTCATACACAAAAGTAAACTAAATGAATCATAGACCTAAACATAAGACATGAAACTATAAAAATCTTAGAAGAAAACATAGGCAAAAATCTCTTGAACATAAGCATGAGCAATTTTTTACTGGACACATCTCCTTGGGCAAGGGAAACAAAATAAAAAATAAACATGTGGGCTACATCCAAGTGAAAACTTCTATACAGCAAGGATACCATCAACAAAACAAAAAGGCAACCTACGGTATGGGAGAATATGTTCATAAATGATTTATCCAATAAGGGGTTAACATACAAAATATATAAAGAACTCATACAACACCAAAAAAGAAATTATGATCTAATTAAAAATAAGCAGAGGACCTGAATAGACATTTTTCCAAAAAAGACACACAGATGGCCAATGGACACATGAAAAAATGTTCAACATCACTAATCAGTGAAATGCAAATCAAAACCACAATGAGATATCACCTCACACCAATTAGAATGGCCACTATCCAAAAGACAAGAAATAACAAGTGTTGGTTTGCAACATCATAGATGGAGCTAGAGGGTATTATGTTCAGTGAAATAAGTCAGGCAGAGAAAGACAAATACCAAATGATTTCCCTCATTATTAAGAATAACAATGAAGCAAAATTGAAGAAACAAAATAGGGGCAGACTCACTGACTCCAAGAAGGGACTAGCGTTTACCAAAGGAGAGGAGGAAGGGTGGGTGGGAGGGGAGGAAGAAGGGGATTGAGGGGTATTATGATTAGTTCACATGGTGTGTGTGGGGGGTCATGGGGAAGACAGTGTAGCACAGAGAAGACTAGTGACTCCGTGGCATCTTACTACACTGATGGACAGTGACTGCAATGGGGTATGGGGGGTATTCAATATGGGTGAATGTAGCAACCAAATTGTTTTTCTTGTGAAACCTTCATAGGAGTGTATATCAATGATACCTTAATAAAAAAAAAAGAAATAACAAGTGTTGGAGAGGATATAGAGAAAAGGGAACCCTCTTACACTGTAGGTTGGAATGTAAATTGGTGCAGCCACTGCATACAGATGTTCCTCAAAAAACAGAAATACCGTATGACCCAGTAATTCCACTTCTAGGAATTTACCCAAAGAAAACAACATCCCTGATTTGGAAAGATATATGCACCCTTATGTTTAAGCTGTATTATTTACAATAGCCAAGATAGGGAAGCAACCAAAGTGTCCATCAATAGATGAATGGATAAAGAAGATGTGAAATATATATATCATGGAATATTATTCAACCATAAAAAAGAAAGAAACCCTGCCATTTTGTGACAACATGGATGGACCTAGAGGGCATTATGCTAAGTGAAATGAGCCAGGCAGAGAAAGATAAATACAATATGATTTTGCTTGTTTGTGGAATCTAAAAACAAAAGAAAAAAAAATGAACAAAATAGCAGTAGACTCACAGACACTGAGAAGTGACTATGGTGAGTGGTTACTAGGGGGAGGGGCACAAAAATTCTCCATCATAATATAAGTTGGCCACAGGGACGGCAGAACAGCATGGAGAATATAGCCAATGATTCTGTAACATCTTCCTGTGTTGACAGATAGCAACTACACTACTGGGGTGAGGATTTAATAATATGGATAACTGCTGACCCCACTCTGTTGTGTAATTTAAACCAATATAAGATTGTGTATCAATGATACTTCAATAAAAAAATAAATAGTTCTGTGATGGAATACTAGGCAGCTATTAAAAAAATGAGGAAGCTCTTTATGAAATGATATTAAGCAATTTCCAATGTATCTTGTTTTGTTAATAAAGGTATAGAATCATCTACCTAACACATATCCTTTATATATTTTTAAAAGGGAATGTATATAAATACATTTATATTTCTTCTTGTATAACAATCTCTGAAAAAGGATACCAGAAACTGGTAACATACACTGCCTCTCAGCTGGTGAAAAGGAGGTGGGAGGGAGAATTTTCTCTATATACATATCGTTCTGTACCTTAGCAATTTGTAACACATGAATGTATTACTATTCAAAAATTAAATAAGCCAAATTTATGTCTAAGATAGAAGTTTTATTCAATCTATGGATATTAAATACATGGAATATGATGCAGTCATTGAGAATCATGTTTTGGAGAATTTCTCATGACTTGGAAAAATTGGATATGTTAGAACACAAATGGAGAACAAAAAATTGAATTATGAATTACATACATTTTCTTTTTTTATGTTAATATGCTTATCTGTATTTTCTAAATTGCCTAGAGTATAAACAATAAAGTAAGTTTATTAAAAAGAAAGACTCATTTGTCCAGATGACAGTCAAATCAGAATCTCCAGCCACATCTTCCCCAAACACCAGCCCCATATTTCTAGGGGCTTCTAACATCCATGGACTTCAGCTGCTCAAACTCAGCTTCTTCCATCAGCAACTCCCAAGCTTGGTCCTTCTTATTTTTAAATTTAAGTCAGTTAATAATATAATCATCATAAACCAGACATCAGTCATCTTGACTCCTTTTTGTCTTGCTCCTACCTTCTCCTCCCTCTGTCCTCCTCTGCTCCCAAACTGGTCTTCTGAGGTTACTTCTATGAACCCTGAAGAGAGTGCCCTCATCCCTATTTCTGATGCTGCTGCCTGAGGTGGATAAAATACAGGTGGATGCGGCCATCTGCTCCTCTGAGAGGCCCCTCGGCAGCAAAGCCCACTCTGTCCACGTGGCAGTCGAGGGCCTTCCCAATCTATGGGGTTTGGAGAATCACCTTTCCATTCAGCTCTACATACTACCCCAGCTGAGAAATCAGAGCATTGCCAACCTGCTTCCACCCTGTAGAGATGGGAGGATTAGTTCTCTGGTCAGCTCCATTGTCTTTTTCAGTTGCACTGTTTCTGATTAGAAATCTGTTGCCTTATCTTCATTCCTCTACATAATTTGCTTTCTTTCAACCTATTCTTTTAAGACTTTCTCTTGTCACTGCCTCTGAGATTCTGATATGATGTTGTGGGGTTTTCTTCATGCTTCTTGTGCTTAGGGTTCATTAAGTTTCTTGGATCTGTGGATTTATAGTTTTAATCCGATTTGGAAATTTTCTTGCCACAATTGCTTCAATTATGTTTATTAGGCTACTTGAAATTTTCCACAGCTCACTATGCCTTAATTTTTGTTTTGTTATTGCTGTTATTATTTTGTTTGACTTTAATTCCTTCTTCTCTGTGTTACATTTTGGATAGTTTCTATTGCTGCTTTGCAGTTTACTAATCTTTTGTTCTGCAGTGTCTGTCTGTTGTTCATCCTGTCCCATTTATTTTTATCTCATACACCGTAGTTTTCATCTCTAAAAGTTTGATGGTGTCTCATTTGTACTGTCCATGTCTCTAACTTTTTGAATATATCAAATAGTTATAATAACTGTTTCAATGCTCTAACATTAACATCCAGGTTGGTTATGTATATGTTTTAATTTTTATGTTTGCTTTTTCTCCACATTATGGGCCTGTATTTTTCTGCTTCTTTGCATACATAGTACTATTTGATTGGATACCAGAAATTGCAATTTTACTTTGCTGGATTGTGCATATTTTTGCTTTCCTATAATTATTCTTTAGGTTTGTTAAGGAATGCAGTTAAGTTGCTTGGAAACAGATTGATCCTTTCAGGTCTTGCATTCAAGATTTTTTAGGCAGAACTAGAGCATTATTTGGTTGTTTTCACCACTGAGACAAGGCCCTTCTTTATATTCTATATCTATGACCGTAGGATTATGTGGGTTTCAAGTCTGGCTGATGGGGAGTAGTCACTATTCTCTGCCCCGTGTGAGCTCAGAGTAATGTTCTCACCAATCTTTTTGGATTATTTATTCCCCAGACTCGGGGGAATTAATTATATTCCCTCCTTACATGTAAGCACTGGTCTGTAATCTGGCTTATTCTGGATTTAAAGTCACTCCTCAGGACAGACAATAAAACAAAAAACACATTATCTAAAAGAGTATTCTTGAAATGTACATCCTCAGGTCAAGATTGAAGGACTGTAGAATAAAATTTTATTTACTGTCTCCCTTTGGCCCATTAGAATGATTTGCTTTATCTGATGGTCAGGATTATACAATTTGAGAAGTCAGGAGACACTACCTAGCATCTGAATTTTCCCACATGGATCCCCTGAGATACATGTTAAGAACAGATTCCCGAAGTTTGGCAAAATATTGATAATTTTTTAATTTGACTAATAGGTACGTGGTGCAGGGCAGAGGGAAGTTGGTCCATATACTCTTCTGTGTTTGTGTATGTCTTAAACTTCCCATAATAAAAAGTTTAGAAGAAAAATATACTAATGGAGATTCCTGGCCCTCTATGCCTAGAGCCTGATTTAACAGCTCTAAAGTGGGACCTAGGAATCTGCAGTTTTACATGTGCTTTAGCTCTAGTGGTCCTTGGACCATATTTTGCAGTACAAACATTGTTAAGTGAATCATTTGCTTGACATAGTTGTCTTTGTGGTTGCTGTTTTCCCAAATAAGGTATCATCCATGGGCCTCCAGCCTATGATGTTCAAATAAATGAACACTCTCTTCTCAGCTCTCACCTGAATAGCCTCTGAAGAACAGGGATTCTTGCAGTCAAAATTATAAGCATGGAACTCTCCTCCAGTCAAAGCAGCAAGATCTTTCAGAAATCCATTTGCAATCTCATCTTTGTAACTGAAGGAGATGGTGTAAATAGGAATTTTCTGAAAAACCTTGACTTGGTCTATAACCATTTCAGGTGGCTGAAATGATAGATTTTGAAGGTAAAAGAAGGGAGATGGAAAAAAAGAAGAGGAGAAAGAAAAAATAAGACATGAAAATCCTTCATATTTGCTACAGATAGTAAAATTCTCAACTAATACTTCCTTATACAGTGGTGAGTAGTTTCCAGGAAAGGCACCAATTCAATTCAATAAACATACCCCCTATTAGTCTTTATCCTAACAAGGGATTTTGTTTAGAATTTGTGCATAAGTCTTTCTCACATCCACTTTCTTGTTTCCTGCTGGGGTGAGTCCTTAACTTCTAAGAAGTCCCCAAATGACCACAAAGATATGCTGGGCTGCTCCTGGCAGAGGCCTTGCAGGGTCAGGGTCCATTCACACATACAGATACTCACCAAAGGATACCTATGGATTCCCTTTTAATGAAGATTAATATTATCATAACCCACCTATGGATTCCATTTTAATGAAGAGTAATATTACTAGAACCCTTTTAACTTGATTAAAGACTTGTCTTGCTATATGACTCTGGACATTTAATAAACAAGCAGTAAGCTGATGTCCATGGAATTGAATCTTGAACAGCATTTCCATCTGTTCATCCAAGCAGAAAATTCTGGTGAGTACTCAGAATAACAACATTGACCTTACATATTCAGGTCCTACAAAGTCAGTGAAAATTCACAAACAAGTGGAGATTAAAATGTACATCTTAATGTCCTCAACATAGAACATGAGCATCAAATATCTATACTTCTTTGAGAGAATCTGAGGGGTAATGCAAAATAAATAGATTGCATATGGGGAAAAGGCAGATATGAATATGAAATGCCTACATAATTGTTCATAAATTATTTGGGGGTAAGTGCTATATTTCTGATTCCCTAGTCTTCATCTTTAAGGAAATCACAGACTCTCTGAGAATCTGGTGAAAGCTATTGATCTCCCCAGAGAAATGTATGAATGCATTTTGCATATATTATTAGGAGATTCTAGACCCTCAGAAATCTATGATAGACTGCAGATCAAGACTCTTTCTCAATATATTGCTAGCAGGAGTGTTACTTGGTACATCCTCTTTGGGGACTATTTGGCAAGATCTGTCAAAATGTATAACTTTTGACTGAGTCTACTTCTCAGAATTTACACTACAAATAAACTCATACATATGCAAAATGTATATGTATGCAGTTAGTTTTGCAACATCATGCATAACAGAAAGATTGAAAATAACTTAAATCTCTGTCTGTAGGGGACATGGCTAAATAGTTGTGTGATGGACAACTTTTATTCAACAAAGTACTAGAGGTCCTAGCCACAGCAATTTAGATAAGAGAAAGAGATCAAAGGCATCTAAATTGGTAAGGAAGAAATAAAACTGTCACTATTTTCAGATGACATGATACTATATTTAGAAAATCACAGACTCCATCAAAAAACTATTAGAACTAATAACTGGATTCAGCAAAGTTGCAAGATACAAAATTAATACACAGAAATCTGTTGCATTCCTATATATTAACAACAAACTAGCAGAAAGAGAAATCATGAAAACAATTCCATTTATAATTGCATCAGATATAATAAAATACCTAGGAATAAACTTACCAAGGAGGTGAAAGACCCAAAGGTGAAAGATTCTGAAAACTATAAGACACTCATGAGAGAAATTAAAGAAGACACAAATGGAAATCTATCCCATGCTCACTGATAGGAAGAATTAATACTGTAAAAATGGCCATCCTGCCCAAAGCAATTAACAAATTCAATGCAATAACTATCAAAATACTAACAGCATTTTCCAATGAACTTGAATAAATAATCTTAAAATTCATATGCAACCAAGAGGACCCTGAATAGCTAAAGCAATACTGAGAAATAAGAACAAAGTTGGGGTTTATGCTCCCTGACTTCAAGCCATACTACAAGCTACAGTAATCAAAACAATTTGGTACTGGCACAAGAACAGACCCACAGGTCAATGGAACAGAATAGAGAGCCCAGATATAAACCCAAATATATATGGTCAATTAATATATGACAAAGGAGATGTGAATATACAATGGGAAAAAGACAGTTTTTTAAATAACTGGTCTTAGGAAAACTGGACAGCCACATGCCAGAGAATGAAACTGGGTTACTATCTAACTCATACACAAAAGTAAACTAAATGAATCATAGACCTAAACATAAGACATGAAACTATAAAAATCTTAGAAGAAAACATAGGCAAAAATCTCTTGAACATAAGCATGAGCAATTTTTTACTGGACACATCTCCTTGGGCAAGGGAAACAAAATAAAAAATAAACATGTGGGCTACATCCAAGTGAAAACTTCTATACAGCAAGGATACCATCAACAAAACAAAAAGGCAACCTACGGTATGGGAGAATATGTTCATAAATGACTCATCTGATAAGGGGTTAACATCCAAAATATATAAAGAACTCATACAACACCAAAAAAGAAATTATGATCTAATTAAAAATAAGCAGAGGACCTGAATAGACATTTTTCCAAAAAAGACACACAGATGGCCAATGGACACATGAAAAAATGTTCAACATCACTAATCAGTGAAATGCAAATCAAAACCACAATGAGATATCACCTCACACCAATTAGAATGGCCACTATCCAAAAGACAAGAAATAACAAGTGTTGGTTTGCAACATCATAGATGGAGCTAGAGGGTATTATGTTCAGTGAAATAAGTCAGGCAGAGAAAGACAAATACCAAATGATTTCCCTCATTATTAAGAATAACAATGAAGCAAAATTGAAGAAACAAAATAGGGGCAGACTCACTGACTCCAAGAAGGGACTAGCGTTTACCAAAGGAGAGGAGGAAGGGTGGGTGGGAGGGGAGGAAGAAGGGGATTGAGGGGTATTATGATTAGTTCACATGGTGTGTGTGGGGGGTCATGGGGAAGACAGTGTAGCACAGAGAAGACTAGTGACTCCGTGGCATCTTACTACACTGATGGACAGTGACTGCAATGGGGTATGGGGGGTATTCAATATGGGTGAATGTAGCAACCAAATTGTTTTTCTTGTGAAACCTTCATAGGAGTGTATATCAATGATACCTTAATTAAAAAAAAAAAGAAATAACAAGTGTTGGAGAGGATATAGAGAAAAGGGAACCCTCTTACACTGTAGGTTGGAATGTAAATTGGTGCAGCCACTGCATACAGATGTTCCTCAAAAAACAGAAATACCGTATGACCCAGTAATTCCACTTCTAGGAATTTACCCAAAGAAAACAACATCCCTGATTTGGAAAGATATATGCACCCTTATGTTTAAGCTGTATTATTTACAATAGCCAAGATAGGGAAGCAACCAAAGTGTCCATCAATAGATGAATGGATAAAGAAGATGTGAAATATATATATCATGGAATATTATTCAACCATAAAAAAGAAAGAAACCCTGCCATTTTGTGACAACATGGATGGACCTAGAGGGCATTATGCTAAGTGAAATGAGCCAGGCAGAGAAAGACAAATACAATATGATTTTGCTTGTTTGTGGAATCTAAAAACAAAAGAAAAAAAAATGAACAAAATAGCAGTAGACTCACAGACACTGAGAAGTGACTATGGTGAGTGGTTACTAGGGGGAGGGGCACAAAAATTCTCCATCATAATATAAGTTGGCCACAGGGATGGCAGAACAGCATGGAGAATATAGCCAATGATTCTGTAACATCTTCCTGTGTTGACAGATAGCAACTACACTACTGGGGTGAGGATTTAATAATATGGATAACTGCTGACCCCACTCTGTTGTGTAATTTAAACCAATATAAGATTGTGTATCAATGATACTTCAATAAAAAAATAAATAGTTCTGTGATGGAATACTAGGCAGCTATTAAAAAAATGAGGAAGCTCTTTATGAAATGATATTAAGCAATTTCCAATGTATCTTGTTTTGTTAATAAAGGTATAGAATCATCTACCTAACACATATCCTTTATATATTTTTAAAAGGGAATGTATATAAATACATTTATATTTCTTCTTGTACAACAATCTCTGAAAAAGGATACCAGAAACTGGTAACATACACTGCCTCTCAGCTGGTGAAAAGGAGGTGGGAGGGAGAATTTTCTCTATATACATATCGTTCTGTACCTTAGCAATTTGTAACACACGAATGTATTACTATTCAAAAATTAAATAAGCCAAATTTATGTCTAAGATAGAAGTTTTATTCAATCTATGGATATTAAATACATGGAATATGATGCAGTCATTGAGAATCATGTTTTGGAGAATTTCTCATGACTTGGAAAAATTGGATATGTTAGAACACAAATGGAGAACAAAAAATTGAATTATGAATTACATACATTTTCTTTTTTTATGTTAATATGCTTATCTGTATTTTCTAAATTGCCTAGAGTATAAACAATAAAGTAAGTTTATTAAAAAGAAAGACTCATTTGTCCAGATGACAGTCAAATCAGAATCTCCAGCCACATCTTCCCCAAACACCAGCCCCATATTTCTAGGGGCTTCTAACATCCATGGACTTCAGCTGCTCAAACTCAGCTTCTTCCATCAGCAACTCCCAAGCTTGGTCCTTCTTATTTTTAAATTTAAGTCAGTTAATAACATAATCATCATAAACCAGACATCAGTCATCTTGACTCCTTTTTGTCTTGCTCCTACCTTCTCCTCCCTCTGTCCTCCTCTGCTCCCAAACTGGTCTTCTGAGGTTACTTCTATGAATCCTGAAGAGAGTGCCCTCATCCCTATTTCTGATGCTGCTGCCTGAGGTGGATAAAATACAGGTGGATGCGGCCATCTGCTCCTCTGAGAGGCCCCTCGGCAGCAAAGCCCACTCTGTCCACGTGGCAGTCGAGGGCCTTCCCAATCTCCCCAACCTAGCTTCCGTGCCTCAGGCCTGACAGTGGCCACCATGGTCCTCGCTCTCATGTTGTTTCTCTGAGCAGCCCATATGTTTCCACACCACTGTTCCTTCTGTCCAGGATACCAGCAATCTCCTCGTTAGAAAATTCCTTCTCCTCTTTCCAGACACAGCTCAAATGTGCTCTCCTCGGTGGGACCTTCCTTCCTCCCCTCCAACTTGCACAGCAGAATTCAGCACCCTGTTCTCCCAGATATCTCACTGCACAGGTTAACGCCACTCCTTGGACTGTGTCAGTTAACTTCTGTGTCTAGCACATCTTGCATAGCATAAGCTTCCCTAAAGCAGTGCTGCTATCATTTATCTTTGTAACCTCAAACCTGGCACCACATATGGAACAAGGCACACACATATGGAACATAAACAAGGCACAACAAATTGCTTCTCAATAGAAAGAATAGTGAAGTTGATAGGAAAATCATTCAAAATAAAGCTTCCCTTTATATACAAAATCTAATACTGCAGCAAAAGCCAGTTGCTTTACTAGTGAAGCTGTGGGCCATTTGACACAGGGTGTTTTACAATATTTGCCTAGCAGTGTTCACATGCAAACACTTCACAATGCAGGATGCAAGATGATACTAATTCGCTTTAGCAGTTAATTTACGTTGTACTGGCCTGCAAATCCATATATTTACTTCATGCCTAGAGCATTAGTCTTTCATTCACAAAGCTCAAAAGAAGATGAATGGACTCCACTGAAACTTTTCAAATATTTTCCAGTCAGGTTAAACAACACAAAGAACATTTCACTAGAAAGGCATGCTTTTGTTTAAATGATTACTAAATTAAAATTTGGTGTAAAACCAAGGATGTTGTGCAGTGACATGTTTGGATTTGAGTCCCTAAAGGGAAAAAATCAAAAGGGACCTCTGCCCTCTTCGTTTGTCAGGAAACATAAACCAGTCTTTAGTGGAAGGTGGGTATCCCTTTTCATGGGGTTGGCCTCCAGGCCAACGGGTGTGTCACATTAACCAGACAGAACTTGCTGTCAAATATATTCTCCTCATTGCTTTAGCAGACAAAGGAATTCCTCAGTGTATTTTCTCACCTCAGTCCTGGGTCCCTACGTCAAGGAAATCTCTCTCAACAGCTTTTTGAGGGCAGCTGAAAGGTCCTGCAAACCTATTCTTAGCAGGCATCTTCAGGGTATTGGTGAGTCCCTCTTTCCCTCTTTGTTCCCACTTTGCTAAGTACCTGATCAGGTCTCCCATCTGTCAAAAGGTAGATTGCTTGTGTTTCTTTATCAGCAAAAGCAATTTGCAGGGCATTCAGGGTGTTTGTGGAACTTCCAATCTGTAGAAAAAAAAGAGAGAGATCAACCACATAACTCAGAAAAGATCTCACAAACAAGTCATTTATTTTCTATTTCCAAAAAAAGAAAGAAAGAAAGAAGTACTTGTGAAATAAAAGGTAAACTTAAATTATACTGAGATAATAATTTAAGTCCAGCAATTCCCTGAGTGTGCCATAAAAGCCCCTATACAGACAGACCCAGAACTGCTAGAAGCCAGGACTATGGATTTCCTGTCCTGACAATGTAGCTCTTAATGCAATTTTATCTTTGTTTCTGTGGGACACACAAACTCAGTTACTGTTCATTCAGCTGTCAACAGAGTTTTCACATGCAGCCTGAATCCGCCTTGGCAGGGATCATGTTTGTTTCATGCCAGGATTTATTCACGATGCCCAATATTTGGCCAAACATGAGTGTGGTATCATTAGCAATCTGGGTGTACAGCAAAGAAACTGTAAATCTTTTAAACCCCTGCAGTTTCTGCCCAGGGATGGAGAGCACTGGCAAGGGTGTCACGCCAAAACTTATAACCAAAAAAATACAGACAAACAGCAAGTACATGACTTTGGTTATGCCCTTCAGAGTGCTCAGCTCATAGCGCAGTAACCAGGCCCCACATCTGAGAAGAGACAGACACCCGCAGTCAGCCAAGGGGCAGGCCCTGGCTTTCTGGGATGGTGACGGGTGGCTTGGTAGAGGCTGGCCAGGTGTACATGGTGAGAGGGTAAGGCCCACAGGTCCCATTCACAGGTGGAGTTGGTGCTCTCTTGAGGGTTTTTTCACTACAAATGCCACAGGGTACTCACACTAAAGACCGGGAGAGCCCTAAGAAATTCTCCTTCATGGTGCAGAATTGGGGAAGAGGAACAGCAATACAGGAATCTCCACAGGGACCCTTCTCCACCTCACACAGGACAAAGGCCTTAATTTATGTGGGGGAGTCTGGGGGAGTACAGGGCGTCGGAGGGGGCAGGGCAACAAACACAATCACTCTTGTGGCATTGGAGAAAATCCAGGATGAGGGTGGGGGACAAACCCTATACACCTGGGGAGGCGCAGAGCTAGGTTCTGGGCCCACAGGTACTGAGCAGGCCACAGCCCTGAGACACCAATGTCTGTAAGACTGAGGTTCATTCAGAGAACACCCATTCCCCTACAAACATTCATGACATGAGTTCTCTCTGAGGCCCCCTATAAAGGAAAAATAAACATCTGAGGGTAGAGGGGACTTTGAGAAACAATTCTCTGGTGTATCATTTCCCAACCTTAACACAAAGTATCACTGTAAGAATTTGGGGTATGGAACTCTGATGGTGACAATAACAAACCAACCTGAAACCCAGCCCAGCTCCTGATTAGCTTTTAACCTACCCCTGCTTGCTCCCCAAAAAGAAAGGTATGTTCATTTCTAGGCAGAAAAAGTAATTATCTCAGTCTCTATATATTATTACACATGATGTTCAACTTTTAACAAAAAAATAAGCATACTTAGAATAAACCATATACTACTAGGATACAAAAGTACAACTCAGAAACAAACTCAGATATGATACAGATGCTGAAACTATTTGACAGAAAATCAAAAATAACTGTGATTAGTACAATAAAACCTCTAAGGTGAACAACACTCAAAGCCAGGTGAATAATTTCAGCAGAGAGATGGCAACCTTCAGAAATAAATTAAAATGCTAAAAATAAAAAACATAGTAATACAAATGAGTACAAAGAGGAAAAAAGAGTAAATCAAAACAGAAAAGAGCATCAAAGGGCTGTGGAACAATATCAAATGGTCTGACAATGCATAATTAGAAATGCAGGAGAAGAGAGAAAACAGGATAGAAGAAATATTTGGAAAACGAATGGCTGAGAATTTTCCAAAAACCTTTTGACAGACACAAACCCATGGATCCAAGAAGGTCAGAGAATACCAAATAAGATAAATAAAATAAAGTAACACTTTTACCAGGGTGGAGTCAGAGAAAACCAAGTAATGAGCCAAGACTTTCATCCCTCACAAACTGTAGCAAGTCCTCCGCGCCCCATGGTGTCCACTCCTACCCAGCAGGAACAAGGTGCTCTTTCCCCTCAGAGTTCGAGCCAGGAACCTGAACTTCAATCTCCACCTGGCAGTAATGAGGCACGGTCTACCCATCCCCTGACAGAGCAGTGTCAGAAAAGCCAACTGAATAGGAGGTTTGAATAATATCCAGAGGCTCACCACATAAAACAGAAATGTCTAGGATCAATTACAAATCACTCCATCACTCCAATACCAGAACTGCCATACCAGAACCAGGAAGATCTCAACCTGAATGAAAGATAGTAGACACCAACACTGAGATGACAGAGATGTTAGAATGATTTAACAAAGATTTTAGAACAGTTGTGAGAAAAATGCTTCAACTAGCAATTTATCAACAAGCTTGAAAACTAGAAAGCATCAGAAAATAAACAGAAAGTTTCAGCAAAGAAATAAAAGATATGGAGGAGAACCAAATGGAACTCTTAGAATTTAAAACACAATAACCAAAACTTTAAAACTCAGTAGGGCTGAACAGCAGAACAAAAAGGACAGAGGAAGGAATCAGTGAAATGGAAGATAGAAAAACAGAAATTATATAATTTGAGCAATAAAGAAAAAACAGTTGAAGAAAGCAACAAACAGAGGCTTAGATATTTTGGGGACTGTAACAAAAGATTTAATGTTTGTGTTATAAGGATCCTGAAAAGACAGGATTCTGAAAAGACATGGGGCTGCAAAAGTACCTGAAGACATAATGCCTGACTCTCCCAAAATTTGGCAAGATATATAAATGTATAGATTCAAGATGCTGAGCAAACCCCAAAGGAATCCATGAAAATACATCAAAATTTGTAGGGCACAGGTAAGCCAGTGCTAAAGGGAAATTTTTATAACACTAACTGCATATATTAGAAAAAAGGTAAAGTCAAATAAACATTCTCACCTCAGGAATCTAGTTAGAGGAGAGCAAAGTAAATCTAATATGAGCAAAAGGAAGGAAATAATAATGAAAAGGGAGTAAGTCAATGGGATGGGAAGCAGGAAAGTAGAGAAAGACAACCGTTTCTTGTAGAAGATCAGTAAAATTGCCAAACCAGAATCTAGTAAGACTGACAGAGAGAAAAGACTGAACAGATACAAACTGTTTTTTATCAGGGATGAAATAGAAGATATGTCACTATAGACCCTACAAACATCAAAAGGCAAAAAACAAAACATTAACAATATATAGGTTGAAAATGAAGTTTATTCAGGGATGCAAGTGTGGTTCATATTAGCAAATCAATGTAATTCACCATATTAACAGGCTAAAGAAGGAAAGACCCATGAGCACATCAATCAACACAGAAAATGCATTTGACGAAATTCAATGCCCAGTGATAACAGAAACTTACGGAAAAATAGGAACAGAGGGAAACTTCCACAACTGAATGAAAAGCAACCATAAAAACTTACAAAATTATAGCAATCTTTTTTAAAAAAAACTCCTTGAAGAAATATTTGAATCCAAAAAGGGCACAGGATACAAGATACACAAAAATTACTTGTATTTCTATATACTGTGAACACACAGATATCAAAATTAAAAAATACAATACCCATTTACAATCACCCCCACAAAAATAAAATATTTAGATGTTATTAGCAAGACATATGCAGGACTTGTATGCTGAAAACTATACAACACTGATGAAAGAAATAAAAGATTTAAATAAAGGGAGAGATAAACCAGGTTCATGAATTGGGAGATTCAACATAATTAAAATACCAAATTTCCCCAAATTTATACACAGGTTAAACACAATTCCTATTTTAAAAAACCAAGACATTTTATAGATATATACAAGATTATTTTAAAATTTATATGGAAAAGACAATGGAACTAGAATAACTAAGACAATTACACAAAAGAAGAATAAAGTGGAAAAATCAGTCCACTTGAGTTCAAGACTTCTTTGGTTACAGCAATCAAGACTGTGTGGTATTAGTGGAGGGATAGATACATAGACTAATTGAACAGAATAGATAATCCAGAAACAGACCCACACAAATATACCCAATTGATTTTTGACAGAGATGAAAAAACAATTCAATGAAAAAGAGAGTGCCTTTCAACAAGTGCAGCTGCAGCAACTGGATGTCCACAGGCAAAAAAAAAAAAAAAGAACCTCAGCCTATGGTTAATTTAAGTAAAAATTATCTCAAAAAGATCATGAACTTTAGTATAAAATACAAAACTATAAAACTTTTAGAGAAAACATAAGAAAAATCCTTGGGATCTAGGCCATAAAAGGAAAAACTGATAAACTGAAGTTAAAATGAAAAGCTTGTGTGCTCTGTTAAAGAACTGTTAAGAGAGTAAAATGACAAGCTACAGCCTGGGAGAAGTATAACAAGCCACAAAGCTGACAAAGGAGTAATACCTAGAATATGAGAAGAGCACCCAAAACTCAACAGTAAAAAAAAAACCCAACACTCCAATCCTAACACAAACATGGAGATATTTGACTGAAGAAAGTATACAGATAGAAAATAAGCATGTAAGATATCCATTATTGTTCGTCATAATGGAAATGCAAATGAAAACCTCAGGAGATGTCACTACAAACCTACCAGAAAGGCTAAAAATAAAAAGAATGACAACACCAAGGATGGCAGGGATGCAGAGAAACTGGATCACTAATACACTGCTGGTATGGAAATAAAGTGGTAGTCACTCTGGAAAACTGACAATTTTCTTAAACATTAAACATGCAACTACCTTAAAAACTAACAATTGTGTCCCGGGTTGAACCTGGGAAACTACAGATGATCATGGAACGTTCTGTAGTGCCAGAAAGTAAGGAAGTGTTAAAGAAAAAAGGTGAATGTATGTTAAAGAACACACAAGGCAACTTGAAAAAGTTCCCAATGGCCAGAGTAGGAACAATTTTAGTAACAAAATGAACAACAGGATTGGATTATAACTCAAAGAGTAAGATAAATATCCATAAATGAAATAAATATATGATTGAATGAATAAATAAAAGGGGGGAAAGAGGCAACTCTTCTTACAGGAGAATTTCAACAAATATAAAAGGAATGAAGGAAGTAGAAAGTCATCATTAGAACAGCACAGTAATAATTGCAGTAGGAAAGATCCATTGCTGAATGTTAAAATCAGTCCGTGAAAGTTTAAGGAACAAAAGATATTTGCATAGCCACAAGGTATCTCCTCCAAAATATCTCGTATTTATAAATGGAAAAACAGTAACAAGAGGGGGGAAATTTGGCAGATGCCACCTTACTCAAGTGATCAAAGTTAACATCACTGATATTAAAGCAGTTCAACACCATGTACCATTCAATGTGATGCACTGAGAAGCACCTATCACCACTGAGGTATGCTTCCCCCAAACCCGTGACCCCAATGTAATCATGAGAAAACAGTAGACAAAACCAAATTGAAGGACATTCTACAAAACATTGGACCAATACTCTTCAAAAGTGTCAAAGTCATGAAAGATAAGGAATTATTGTCATAGATAGATGGGACTAGAAAGACCCCAATTAAGTTCAGGGTGGGATCTGGATGGAATCTTGGAACATTAACAGGGACATTAATGGAAAAATTAATGAACTCTGAGTGAAGTCTGTAATTTAGTTAATAATATCAATGTGATTTTCTTAGTCTTGATAACTGTGCTATGGTTATGTCAGATGTTAACATTAGGGGAAGCAGGGTGAAGGGTATATAGGAACTCTGTACTATTTCTGCAACTCTCTCATGAGTTTAAAATTATTCTAAATTAAAAAGTTTATTAAGTTATATATATATATTTAAAAAGACACCCAAAACTACTGCATTTGGGCAGCAGGAATGTTACGCAGATGGTAAACAGAACAACTCTTCTCTCTGAGTCCATGGATCTCAACAGCCTTCTGTTGACAAGCCCAGTGCCCAGGGTATATTGAAAAGATGGTGGGAAAGCAGGGAGACAGCCAGCCTGAGAACCATGGGAAAGATGGGTGGGAGTCAGTGCCACCTCCCTCTCTACTCCCCCAGCAACCTTGGGCCAGACCCTTCCCCCAAAGACTAGGCAGGCACGCGCCAGGTTGTGCTTCTCTGACTCAGGACTGGCTGCACCTGTTGGGGAACCGCTGCTCCTTGACACCGGCACATGGCAGGCTCAGAACATCCGAGCATGTCCTGAATTTACTGGGTTGATTCCTGGACCAAAGCAATTGAAAGAATGATACGGAAATCTGGTGTCCTTGTAAATGAATTTTTCACATTCAGCAAGCAAGCAAGAGAGCTTCAGTGAAGATTTCTGAAGAGAGCAGAATCATATAAAGAATGATTTAAGTTATATTTTTAGTCCTTTAGAGGGCTGACTCTATTCACTGCTTATTTTTATATAAAGCAGCACCTGATGTTTTTTTTCTAACAAGATTACATATATAATACCTTTTTACCACAAACCCTAAATTAGTGGGCTTTGAATTAACAAGGTATCTCCCGTTACCTATAGAGTGTAAAAGGAAAGCACATATGTCCCAAGTAACTTCATTGGTTAGTCCTGGAAATCTAACAGGGTGGGGATGAATTTAATACTCTTTCCCAGGATAAGGTGGCTAATTAAGTCAAAAATCTTACAGGTATTATTATTTCTTATAGAACAGATTTCTTCCTTCTCCCATTAAAAAAATCAAATCCCAAGGAATCTAGAACATCCCAATGACAGCACAAGCCTTGCATTGTTAATATTCCAGGAGCTCCACTTAATGTCCATTTGTGGTTTCCGTCAAATTTGGGACCCAAAACTCAGGCAATGAACTATTTTAAAGATGTTTGTGTTCAATAGTTGACTTTCTAAGAAGAGCCTTTAATCTCAATTTTCATATATCTCAAATATCTGGAATACTCTATGGTTCTGGAAAAATAACTTTTAAAATGAAGTTAAGTTCAAGAAAAGAAAAAATACAAGGAAAGGGAAATTCTTCCCAGTAGTTTGGGTAAATGCCAAAAGCAACGGCTTTATCTCCCAGTGAAAGGCAGACCTGAAGAAATTATCTACCTTCTTTCTGTCTCCTGCTGCCCCTTCTCTCTCCCTACTCTCGCTCTAATTGCTCACACTGTACTCTATGTTTCCACAAGTTCACTACTTTTGAACAAAGCCCATTGTTTGGAATAACTGCAATAGATCACTTGAAATAAAAATGGGGTTTCAGAAGGAATACATTTGGGTGTTTGAGTACAAAAAATAGTATTTTTAAGTTTTCATAAGGGGCTGCCACAAGCAGATCTCAAAATGATATGCTGTGAATAGAGGCTTCTCTAAAAAGCGCCTGCGTGAAGCCCCTGCCAGCACGGTCAGAGCACTTTCTCAAGCATTTGCTTCCTAAACAGCAGGTGATCACGCCAGGTTCCTCCTCCCAGACTCAGCCTCCCTCTTACCTTTATGTCTCTAACCCAGGACTGAGCCCCTTTCAAATTATCTTCATTGATTTCTACAAGCTTTTCCTGCCAAGCAACTGCTTGAGCATCAAATTGTACAAAATTGAATTTCCTTTTGTATTTCAGCTGTTCCTGTAAGAAAAAATTACTATTTAACCATAAAACCAATCAAATGTAAGAAAAGATTAGGACAGGTCACAGTTTGATAAACTTTAATCACTATGATATCTATGTTCAGTTCCAGAAGCTAAAAATTACATTCAAAAGGAAAAATCTTTTCTAATAAAAAAGATATTAAATAAAATTATACACAATTTGGATATTCAACCTTTACAAATGTGTGAATATATGTTACATATACATCATATATGTGTGTGTTTATATTTATACTGTGATGTTAAATGTTGTCTTTAATACAGCATTAATGTCATACTGAATAAGCACAGTAAAGGCGATCTGCTTAAAGAAGAAAAATCCAAAATGGTGTCATCAGTTCAATCACCTTTTTAGTAAGACTGTTACTCAATTACATGTCTATTCACTTGCCTTCCATTAGTCCATATTCCTCCAATAGAGTTTATCAAATTAAAAACTGTATTTTGTATTTGCCAACACTCCCCACAATTATTTTCTGTAATTAAAACTCACATCACTACTACTAACACAACAGTACTGTGTTATCCATATATGGGTGTGGAAAGTAGGCATTAGGAAATTGAAACCATCTGCTTCCACCCCCATAACTCAGTACAGGCAGAACACTGGAAGCTCCTAACCATCAGCTTATGCGCCTCCCACATACCGACTGTGGGGCCAGTGCACACCACAGATAATAAAAACACTGAAAGTTCAAATAAAAATGCTGAACTGAAGAGATTCTGGAAAACAATGGTGGTGGGTGGGTGGGGTGTGTGCACACTATGGATTTCAGGATAGAGGAAACCTGAAGTATGGACATAGATACAGAAAGGACCCACCTAAGGAAGGGTTTGCTTGCAAAGGAGAACTGATGATTCTCTAACTGGCAAATGTGGCTTTCCTGTGGATTTTTTAGTGCAAACCTCACCTGAGTAGCTCTCGAAACTTCTGCAGGTGATGATGGGTGGAGATGCATTCATGAAAAGCAGGCTGTCACATCCATGAACCTGACAGTTCTGACTAACCTGCACAAACTGGACGATCTTGTCCTTCACCAAATCCAGCTTGCTCTTCATTGAGTGGGAGGTATCAATGAGAATGTAGACACAATCATTACACACCTGTCCAAAGAGGATTTGACTCCCATTCTGTAGCCATTTAATCCTAGGCAGGAAATAGGTTGAAAGTGAACATTTAGAGCCTAGGACTTGTCCTTCACCAAATCCAGCTTGCTCTTCATTGAGTGGGAGGTATCAATGAGAATGTAGACACAATCATTACACACCTGTCCAAAGAGGATTTGACTCCCATTCTGTAGCCATTTAATCCTAGGCAGGAAATAGGTTGAAAGTGAACATTTAGAGCCTAGGAGCAAACAAGAGCATCCTCCCAAGAACTTAATGATACAACTGGGCTAATTGTATATGCATAGTCCTCTGTGAATGGATTACTGCTTCAGAGGGTTTTCTATGGAAGTGTCTATGTTTGGGCCGGCTCCCCTCATCACCGCCAACCCTGAATATCCAGCATTAATCTAAGAAAAACAGAACTAGGAAAATCAACAGGACAGAAATACAAATCCAATACTGGGTTCCAAAGCCAAAAGTAAATGACTTCGAGTCATTTGATAGTTTGAAGCCCTCAGCTCTGACTTCAGACCATTTGTTTCTCTAACCCTACTGACTGCAGTCAAGCTAGTCAAGTCAGCACATTTCTGAAGCTTCACTGAAACTCTTGAACAGTATCAAGCAGATATTGTTCAACCCCAGATCCCTACAATAACCAAGTGCCAGGTGGTTGTATGAGCAGGACTGCCTCTGCAGTCGAGGCTCAGGAGGCAAATTAAGTTCATGGCTGCAGGCAAAACCTGAGGGAGGAGGCAGGGCAAATGGAAAAATTACTTGAAACTGAATTCATAGTTCAGCAAGACCTAGGCAACTAGAACCTATAGGGCAAAATACTGAAGAGACTGCCGCATAGAAAAAGGGATCAAAGTGAGTCCAAGTCACTTAACTACATCCCAGAACACACATTTAAAAATCACAAAATCCAGCACCCAACAATGTAAAATTCTTCTGGCTAAGCCTTTACCAAGAGGTCAAGCAGATCTGGATTTCAGGAGAGACTAGACCACATGTGCCTCGTGAAAACACACCAACCTCCTCTGGATCTGGGCCAGGACTTCATGAACTCTCTCACTGTACCATGTGTACTTCTCCTTGGTCATGCAGACATGGACCAAGCTCCCATCCTTCCAGGGAGCATGGATAAATCTGCTGCAGTATTTCGCATGGACTTTCTTCTTGTTGGTCTCCTAAGGAAAGGATAAAGCCACTCAGAAGCCATTCAAAGAAAATTCTCCAGGTGGAACCTCCATCTCTGCCTCACTTACACAGCTCTCAGCACTCAATCCCATGGTAAAATCATTCAACTACCTCTGGTTCAACTGAAAATGTACTGGGACCTAGGTGTCATGAATGATGGTCAGAAAGACACGCACAATCCCATCTGTGTTCCAGATAATATTTCCAGCAGGAGACACTGTATGCACACACAAACACAGACATAAACACAAACACAAGCACACAGCAAGTGGTAATGCAGAGCACTAGACACCTAGTATCTGGCACTGGACTGAGGCCATATGACCGGGCTAGTTCTGGCAGAGGAAAGAGTTCTCAGTGGACAAGAGGGCTAAGGAGACCATCTAGAGGTGGGAATTGAGATTCACACAAAACATTTTTCTGTTGTTACTCCCATCCCCAAACAAAGAAAAATAACCAAGAGTCCCATTACACATCTAGTGTCCTGTACTGGGACAGACAGAACAGGCCAAGGACAAAGGCTTCCCACCCAAAGGTCTGTCATTCTCCATCACTCACCCAACCTATTTAGGGATTTATGCCTGCTCTGCTCTACTCCTTCAAGCACTGCTTCATGCCAGGCACTCTTCTAGGCACCGGCAATACAAGCCAGAAACAAATTATATAAATAATTATATAGCAAATCAGATGAAGACAAATGGAGAAAAGTGAGGCAAGGAAGGAGAACAGAGAATGCTGGGGGCTGGGGTGAGGGTGGGGACAAGTTAAGACCTAAAAGGGGAAGTCTCAAAGAGAAGGCGAAATAGGAGCAAAGAATACGAGCAAGAACAGAATGCTGACAAACAGAGGTCTGTCTGGGGGAAGTGTGGGGACACAGACACAGCAAGCACAAGAAGTAAGTGTTTACCCAGCATGTTTGTACAATTTTAGGAAGACCAGTGTAGCAGAAATAAATGAGATGAAGCGAGAGAAATATGAGGAGGGCCAGGAAGCAGGATCTGTAGGCTTACTGGCTGATGGAATTGACTGGCTTCTCCTCTGAGTGAAAAAGGAACTGTCTAAGGGCTTAAACATGAGAAGTGACTTGATTTTTTTATAAGATAGAATTGACATATAACACTGTACTAGTTTTTGGTATAGAACATAATGATTTCATATATGTATATGTTGCAAAATTATTATCACAATAAATTTAGTTAACACCCATCACCACACAGTTACAAATATTTTTTTTTGCGATGAGAATTTTTAAAATCTACTCTCTTAGAGAAGTGTAGTTTAAAGTTTCAAAGTTGAATTTCTAAAACTATATTATTTTAAAGGATACCTCTGGTTACCCTGTTGAGAAAAGACTGTAGATGGTCAAGGTCAGAGCAGGGTGTCAGGAGGTCAGTTAGGGGGCATGGACCAGGGGTGGCAGCAGAGGTGGTAAGAAGTGGTCAGATTTGGAATTACAGATAATTATGAAGATAAAACGGACAGGCTTTAATGAGAGGTCAGATGTGGGTAGAAGAGAACAGAAGAGTCAAGGATGACTCTAAGGTTTTTCAGCCCAGAGAACTAAAAAAAGGGAGTTGCAAAAAATTGATAGGAGGAAGATTCTGGGAGAGCGTCCTTGAAGAGAAAAAGATCTGGATCCAGTATCTGATGCGTTGGGCTCAAGACTCCTGTTAGACATCCAGTAATACAGCAAGTCATTGGGTGGCAATCAGGACAGGACTCGGAACTGGAGATTGAAATTTGGAAGTCACCAGCATGCACACAGGACTAGATGAGGTCACCTGGAGAAGGAATGCAGACAGAGCAGATGCCCAAGGACTGCACCTTGAGGCCCTCCAGTGTTTAGAGGCTGGGGACATGGGAAATAAGTAACAAAGACTGAGAAAGAATAGCCAGTGAAGGAGGAGGAAAAACAGGACAGCATATTTACTGCAAGCAAAAGAATTTCAAGGAAGTAACCAACTATGTTAAATGTTGACAACAGGTCAAGAAAGAAAGAGACTGAGAACCGACCCCTGGATTTAGCAATTCAGGTATTGCTAGAAAGAGTGGGTTTTTATGGAGAATGGGCCTTTTTGGAGTGTGTTCTAAAGAGCATGGGAGAAGGTAGAATTGGAGGAAGGAACTTTAAGACTGTTGAGGAGTGGAATTCTAAAGAGGAGCTAGGGAATAAGGCAGAGCCAAAGGCAGACATGAGCGCCAAAAACTATATTTTTAAGATGGGAAGAATAACACAATGTTTGTGTACTGATGGGAAAGATCTAGAAATGATGATACAGAATAGGAAGGGGGAGAATGAATGACTGAGGGAACAGGGATCAGTGCACACATGGAGACAAGAGCAAGGACATTCAGCCATCCTGGAAGAAATAAGGGGAGGGCACACAGGTGCAGAGGCTGGGGGATCTGTGGATGTGCGGCAGATGTTCACGTCAATGTTCAGTGCTGAGCACTAACACGGAGGAGAAGGTGTGTGAAGTTTGAGCAGGTCGGCATCTTGGAGAATGAGAGTCTGAGTGGATTGGAAAAGCACAGTAGGATAACTGGGCAGCATAAAAGAGCCATCTGAAGTCAGAGGTCATGAATCCCAGTGAAACCAGGCACTGGGGCTGTGTGTCTTTTCCAGTTTCCTCACTGCAGTCAACTGCACAGGTTTAAGGCAGAAAGGGCAGAAAGTTGGATTCACCAGTGTTGGGGTTTGCCAGATGAATGCAATACTGTAAGACAGGAGAAAAGTAGGTGAGGCTGTATGAGAGGGACAAAGGGTAGAGAGGACAGGGAAAGACTGGAATTAGAGTAGTAGAGGAAATCACCCAAATAGTGGCCAGAGAGGGTGACCCTTGGTACTGATTATGTAGATTATGATTACAGTTATTTGTAATGAAAAGGTCAAGGGTACGTCTATGGTAGGAGTGGTAGTCATGCAGTGGAGGAGAAAGTCATTGGAGAAGAGAGATCAGAACAAAGAAAGCTCAGGGTATGGGAAGGGTCATCCACATGTAACTGACATCACTAAGAATTAATACAGTTGAAGCCAGTGACAATGAGCCAGAAGCTATAATCTTAAAGGATTGCCAGGGGTGACCTAGGGCTCAGTAGGTGTCAGCCACAGGAGGTGCACTGGGTGCTACATTCTGATGACATGGGAAGAGTGAAGGAGAACAATGAAGAAACAGCAAAGAGGAACAAGAAGACCCCCACCCAACTCCAGGCCACAGGTCCATGGAGAACGGGAGTGAAACCAGGGTCCTTGAGAAAGAACCCGGACAAACAGGTGAAGAGGACACTGAAGAGCACATGAAGCTGTAGGGGGTTACTGATGGCTTCTAGTTCCAGGGGACGCAGGGGAGGGATTTGAGGAGTCAGGGAGGAATGGAGCAGGCTCAGACAGGATGTGAATCTAGGGGTCCAGTGTGACTGATGTAAATAGGAATTAAGGGTACAATGAGGTCAGTCCAGATGCTCCCAAGGCAGGCAGATGGGGGAGCCACCTCTCCACTGCAGGGCAAGGACGGGAGGAGAAAGATCCTCTCTCATTCTCATCAGCTTCCTGAGGATGTCACAAGGGAGATCTCCCTGCTCTCAGTCCCACCGCACGGTACTTCCCAACTGTGCCTTCTGCACTTCCAAATGGAAACACACCATCTGTAAGTTATGTGAATACAGGTGCCAGCAGCAGAGTGTGAGAGCCCAGCATATCTGAATTCAAACCCTGCCCCCACCTGCCATGAGATGGCAGACAAGTTGCCTAACCTCTCGGAGGCCCTATCACTTTGTTTTCTCATATGTGACATTAGAACACAAATATTCACTTTGTATATAAAGCATACAGGCATTCCTAAATGTTCATTTCTGACTCACAATGCTGATAATAAAGAAAGAAGGAAGGTAACATCTACTGGGCATCTCCTAAGTGCCAGGCACTGTGCTTTAAGACATGCATTTTTAAATTTGGACTTTACACCACCCATTTTACAGATGTGGAGAGTGAGGCTGCAAACAAGTTAAATTATTTGCTCAACATCATAATTACTGGTAGAGGCAGCATTTGCACTGAGGTCTCCACACTCCAAATGCAGTGCATTTTCCACCATACCACCCTGTCTGGTACATAGTGAAGGTTCAACAAATATTTGTTAGAGGAATAAAATGGTGAGGCCAGCATGGGCTTTTGAACATCAGGGCTGGCTTTGTGCACAAGCAGCATAAGCAATCATGAAGGCAACGTGATGTTAGAAGTTCCCCAAAATACCAAGTTACTAAACTTTGCCTGAAATTTCCTAATTAGAAATGCATTATTGGCTCTTCCTCCCACCTGTCCATCCATCTGGAAAATGCTATGTCAGAAGGCCTTTTTAGACGTGTATTTCTTAGTGTTAACGAGTTTTTATTATTAACCTATAAATCAATTTTTATAGTTAAAAACTTAGGGAGTCTGACCCAAACCTACCTATATCAAAGCCTCAGTTTCTGTCTACCTTATGCCTATCACAATTGTAGGTGTAATTCCAGTCCCAAATACTAAAAACAAAAGTGTCCCCTTTTCATCAATATTTGGGAAACAGGATGGCAGTACTGTGCAATTCTCAATTTTTACTATAGTAGTATTCCTTGTTAGCACAAGAAATTTGAGGTAAAGTTTCCCACTTTAAGCCAAATTCTTCAAACTGTCCCTGTAAAATTCCATTCAAAATTATCAAGAAAGAATAAAGAGCAAATCAGTATTAGAGACAGAGCTGAGCAAACCACAGTCATGAGCACTTATTAAGCTATGTTCAGGTTCAGAGATTAATATTTTTAAATATTCAGGGCTTAATGTACTTTAAAAAATGAAAATTTAGTTATGTATGACTTCCTGAGCTAATAAAGTTACTGAGTAATGTCTACAAAACCAGAAAACTGTGCTGGGGGAGGAACCCCATAAATGAGATTTCCCTGCAATGTAGCAATTATTCTGCTCTTCAGTATATAAGCCAGGAAACAAGTCTTACATCCATTTTGCATTTTTCTAATTCAATTTTTACATTGTCCTCCTTGTATTCCATTGTAAACACTAGGCAGTAAGAGGGCAAAACCACATCACATGGCATAGCCCCAAAGGGAAGGACGATGTGTGCAGCCAGTGGCCAGCCAGCTTAAGGAGTGTCCAAGAGACTGGGGTTTCACCTCTGTAGGCCTGACAGACATCTCAGTGAAGATCCTGACACTGAATCAGAGCCTAAGAGAATATATCAAGCGACACTGCCTTTGACAAGGACCTCCATTTCCTCTCCAGGGTCGCTGCTGGGCTGCCGTTACCTGCATGTCGTGTTGCTTGCATTTTAGCTTTCACCTCCAGTAGGTACCTGGCCTTTTACTACCTTCTCATGGAGCTTTCCTTCAGTTTTACAAAATAGAACATTCAGTTTATCCCAATTTTCTGTTCTTACTGTGATAGTCTTTTTCACTCTTTCCATAATGCTAAACTTTTGACAGTCTTCTGGTCTTGCGCTACACATCACTGTTTCTCAAAGTGTGAGCCTTGGGCCAGCAGCTTCAGCATCATTTGGGGATTGTTATAAATGCAAACTCTAGGGCTCCACCTCAAACCCACTGACTCATGCATGCTAAAGTTTAGGACCACTACCGTAGATCACTGTCTTTCCACTGTGAGTCAGACTTGGGCACTTTGATAAACTCCATTCCTTTCAGACCCATTGGCACAATGAAATTACAGCTTTCAAAAGTTTCCAGTATATACCTTCTGATGCTGTAACCCCTTAGAGAATCCGATTTTATTTTTACTGGGAATCTACTAAATGCTGGCTGGTAATCACTAGAATAATGTATCTTTAAGACAGTGTCATCACAAGAGGACCATAGAAATGACTGCTGTGGGCAGTCACCAGTGGATTCTCACTTCTGTTCAATATGGGGGAACAAAGGACTTCTCTGCTGACAAAGTGCTGAGTAATTCTGATTCATAATGCCTGAATTTCTATAAGCCCAGCTTCTGACTTATGTATAATTATTGTTTCATTCACCTATACCCGGAAACCATTCCTGGCCTTGATCTCCACTCCCAGAAGCACCGTTCAGAGAAGTGTCAGGTGGAAAACAGAAGGGGCATCCTTCTTCACGGAAACCTGAGCTGCTGCCTTCCAACCTTGGTCCTTTCTAGGTTCTTGTCTGAGGAAGGGCTTATCCTACCCACGTACCAACCCAGGAAAGGCCACAGCCCCTCCCGGAGGTTCACTTCACTTACTGCACTGGTCTGCACAGACTCGTTCTCCGGTTTGGATTTTATATCAACAACTCCGTCAGCATGGCGGAAGGAGCAGTCAGCAAGGACATCATAAAATGACAGCTTCTGAGCTTTTAAGCCGTATTTCTGTAGCCACTTCTTAGAGTCCCAGGTGTTTTCTGGATTTGACTCATTCTCAACAGAGGTTGCTCCTGATTCTATTTTGGAATTAAAGTTCATCAGACATTCATATTACACAAGTCATTCATGTATCACCACAACTTAATATCTGCCAAGCTGTAACAAGTTCTATGTTAGATCACATTCATTTCAGGAAGCATGCTTTCCAAAACAGGGCTGGCAAAGAATTAGTTCACAAGACTGGAATACAGGATCTAATTTCATCTCATCTCCTCCTCTACCTAAACTGACAGTCCCATGCATAGGTGGAGAAGGCCTATAACAGACCAAGGCTGGGTGTCAGGAGAGCATTACAGTTGGGGTCTTTAAAGAAGCTCTGGGTTCAGGTCCCAGCTCCACCCCTTACTAGCTTGGGCAAGTTGCTCAAACTTGGGTGCATCACTCCATTCAACCTCTCCAAGTTTCAGCAGAATCCTTCACCTGCGGATGGAAGGTAACACCTGCTTGGCCTTCCTAAGTGTGTTTAAGTTATTCAATAAGAAAAGGCATGTGAAAGTGATTTGTGATGAGGGGAGAGAGAAGGAGAAGCATGTAGCCTGCCTTGAGGTGGGAGTCAGTGGACTGAAAAAGGCTGGCAGGCTGCCTCCCAAGAGCTCCCCTGTCCACATGATGAATTTATCCTGATTGACAGCCTGGCCCCCAACTCTGCAGGCTCAGAAACCTCACACGTCAGGTGCCTGGAGCTGTATCTAAGACCACTCACCTTAGGTTCATAGGTTAGAGTATAACCCAGAAGGTCAACTGCCCGATATCCCAGCCGTAGGCACATTCCCTTGGTATCTTCCAAAGGTTAATTATACTTTTCAAGTTGGAGAAGGTGTTATCTTACCTGAATACCATGTATGTCAGTTTGTCATTCAAGCAGAAAAGTATTTATTTAGGTGGCTCAAAACCCCTACTGCCTCTAAGGTAGGCCAGAGTATTATGCACGGGCACAGAGGAAAGGGTGAGCAAATCTGAAGCTGAGAAGGTGGCACTGGTGTCTGGAGCTGGCTTGCACTGGCTGGTGAGAGTGAACTCCCAGCCCCGGACTCAGCAGTAGCCCACTGGTGGGTGAAACTGACCACCCTGGGAGTATTTACAGAATCTAGAAATCAACCCTGGGAGTATTTACAGAATCTAGAAATCAGCAGATGACACAAATCAAGGCTTTTTTATTCCAGAGACTGAATTGGTAAACATTTATCTGCAGCCACTGGAAAGAAGGCAGAAAGGACATGGAGCTTTAGCCCCACTGGGACCAGCAGAGCACTAGGAGGACCAGAAAGGGGTGCTGGGCAGAGAGGTGGTTCTCTTCATATGAATTTCCATTAGGTTCACTTATCCTACAGAGTTCATTTAGACCACTTAGACCCACGGTTCTCAACCCTGCACACTGGAATTCTCTGAAGAGTTTTTAAAAATACTAATGCCACACATTAGATTCTGTTTTAGTTGGTCTGGACATTAAGATTTTTCAAAGATCCCTGGGTGACTGTATTGGGCAGCCAAGCTTTGCAACTTGGGAAAGATGTAAAGAACTTTCTGAATTATGATTTGGTGATCCCTTCAGTTATGCTTCCATCAGACACAGGTTCAAGTTAAACTATATTTTTAATTAAAAAGTAGCACTCACTATTGGGGAAACAAAAATATGACCTATTTTTACTCATACTATATTTAAAAGGATATACAATTAGACTAGGATTTGAAGAAATAAACACTTTACAGCCAATTATTTCTTAATAGCGTGTAAAGGATCTATCTATTAATATATGTGAGCCAGCTCCTCAAATTTTAATAGAACATCTTTTAAATAATGCACTCTGAAACCTACTGGAGCTGGAACTTCTCAAAGAAACTTGATTTTGGCTTTTAAACTTTAAACCAGTCTGGCATCAAAAGCCCCTCTGGGCACCATCCCCAATGACAGCAGCTGGTTTCTATGGGAATCACAAAACATCTTCTCACCCTGTACAGGAAGCTCAACCCAGAGGCTTCCCGGGCTTCTGATCCCCAAGGTTCTCCTGCATCACAGGGAAACCGCAAAACCAGAATGGAGCTCTTTTTGTCAGTGGGATCAGCCTCCTTGGAGAAACCCTTTGTGTGACTATTTTTCCTCAGCTATTGTTAATTACATTCTGAGGCTTTGTCTCCTCTTCATTCCTTCTTTATTTTCTCCTCTTCTTTCATCAATAGGTGCAGTAGGAAATAAAATTTTCATTCAATTATTTCCATAGCAATATACACTCTATCATATGCTTCTGCTCTGTTTTGGGTTCCTTCTTTTAAAAAGACAAGAGCCCTTTCAATCACAAATTCAAACTTATCATAAAAGAACTCCCTAAAAACCCATTACACCAATTCTATCAGAGGATTTGAAAGAGCCAGAGACTAACATTTGGCTCCTAGTTTCACCCAGGACCACGCGGTGCAGCCACTTAAGGGCATGATTCAGGCTTCCAGTTACCCTCTGAAAAGGAGGGAGGGTGGAAGACCCAAAGCAACTTGAACTTCGTAAAGGAAAGAAGGGGCAGCAAGCATGCAAACCAAGGAGCCTAGGGGCTCCAAACTGAAGAGAGGACAGAAAGGGGGAATACTTTTCACTTTCAGTGCTAATTACACCAATTAGTGGTTGAGCTGCATTTTCCCTGGGGTGGGGGAGGGTGTCATGCATTCATTAGAGTCACTTCCTAAGGAGTCCTTTCCATTCCCCTGAAGTTACATAAACTCTCACCTGCAGAGCCTGAGATAAGACCTCCATTTTTTATAGACACGTGAGCCCACAACTCATCCTGATCACATTGCTCTATTATACAACATAATATGTGATATATATACTTTATCACTTATTTGTCACATCCTATTCTATGTGTCTGCCTCTTTTTTTTTTTTGGCCTCTTTGTTTTTTAAATTTTCCTTTCCCTCCTACTTTCATCCCCTGAGAACTGTATGAATTAGAGACAGTCAGGTTTGGAATCATTTTTCCACTGGCTTATAAACAATTTGGGGAAGGCATGGAACCCTTCTTTCGAGGAGATTTAACATTGAATTTTACAAGCATTACAGGGAGGAAATAAAATCACTTCATGACATTTAGGGGAGCTGAGGCACAAGGAGATGCAGTGACAGGCCTGAGTCACATCTCCAATATGTGATGGAGTCTAAATGGGCAGTTGTAGAAACTGCCCTGAGTAGACTGTCATATAAGCTTAGGGGAGACAATTAAAGTGTGGGATCATTAAGTTCATGGAAGAATGGGAAAGAATCCTGATAATCCAGGCCCTTTCTCCCCTGGAAGAGGTAAAAATAAAAACCATAAAGCACGGATAATGGACAGGACATGTAAGAGATGCTAACGCTCTCTCAAAGACATGGCTCTCCATTTCTCTTCTCTTCTGCTTCAGAATTCTGAAAGAAGGAAGCTAAAAACAATTACAGGTAGGCTGTGCATGAAGAGGCCACAGGAAGAATGCTTACACCACACTACCTGCAACTGGCTACAAAGAAATAAGGAGCCACAGTCAGCCTGGTGACAGACAACCCTGCATGAAGGCTGCGACGAAACCATGAGCAGACTCCAAGGGAGGAATTTAGAAAGCCATATTTTAATGTGTCTATACATGACATTTACAATAAAATGAAAATAGTTGAGGATCAGTAATGTAGGCAACAAATTATACCTTAGGTGACTATTTCTTTAAAAAGAGCATGATATGCAAAGATAAGCACAGACTAATTCAAGGTATCTGGTATAAAGGAGAAAAATCAAGATTAAGAAATGAGAAAAGGATTCAGAGAGTTTGGGAACTTATAACAAGAACCTGAAATTCGTGTGCTAGTGAGAATGGGAACTGTGAAATAGAGTGGGAATACTGGCATTAAACCAAGTCAGAAAGGTGAATCTGCTTCCTTTGGGAAATTAAAATGTTTGCCACTTTTTAGGATCTTGCATCACTATTGCCAAGGTAAGTTTTCATTCTTAGTCAGCATTTGCACTTCACGTAGTCTTTTAAAATTTTGTTGGCATATAATTCAAATACTATAAAATTCATCCTTTTAAAGTATACAATTCAGTGGGTTTTAGTTTATTCACACAGTTGTGCAACCACTACCTCTATTTAATTCAAGCACACTTTCATCAACCCAAAAAGAAACTCTATATTCATTAGAAGTAACTCTCCATTTCCCAACCCCTCTTCCTCCCACAAATTTACTCTATGCAGAGTTGCCTATTCTGACCATTTCCATAAATGGGATCATATAAATTGTGACCTTTTGTATCCAATTTCTTTGATTTAGCATAATGTTTCAAAGTAAATCTATGTTGTAGCATGTATCAGTACCAAATAACTTATTATGGCTGCATAATATTCCATTGTAGGGACATACTACCTTTTATTTATCCATTAATCAATTAATTTACATTTAGTTTGTTTCTACTTTGTGACTATTATGATGCTGCTACAAATATTTCTGTACAAGTTTTTGTGCAAACAAATATTTTCAATTTTCTTGAGTATATTCCTTGGAGTGGAATTGCTGGGTCATATGCTACCTCTATGTTGAATTTGAAGAATTGCAAGACTAGTTCCAAAGTAGCTGTGCCATTTTACATTTCTATCAGCAATGTACAAAGGTTCCATTTTCTCCCTATTATCTTGTCAACACTTGATATTGTCTGCCTTTTTTATTATAGCTACCTTAGTGGGTATGAAGGGATATCTCATTGTAGTTTACAACAAAAATGTTGTACTTTTGTGTGCTTTTTGGCCATTTGATTATCTTTAGAGAAATGTCTGTGCAAATCCTTTGCATATTTTTCAATTGGGTTATTAGTCTTTCTTGTTGAATCATAAGAACTCTTCATGTCTCCTTCAGCTGTAGGATTACAATATGTTTTCACATTTTTCAGGTTGTCTTTTCACTTTCTTCTTTTTCCAGTTTTATGGAGAAATAATTGACATACATCACTGTATAAGTGTGAGGCATACAACGTGATGGTTTGGTTTACATGCATTGAGAAATTGTGAAATGA